AAAATTTAACTATAAATATTTGTGTATATATATTAATCTTAAAATGAAAGAAATAAATAATTTAATGTTCTTCGTATTTTTTCTTTATAAACAACGTTTGTTTGAAATAACTTACATTTTGACTGAAACCAGAAAAGCATCCAATTACGTTTCAGAAAACCTCAGTACTATATTTCCATGAGATAAAATTTTCTGTTACGCATAATAATAAACATGGCAACTATTATTTGATAGCATCTGTACAAGGGTGCTATTTTGCATAAAAGGAATATTATAGCGTCCTTCAGATTGGAAATATTATTCAAAACATGTTATGATATACATTTTAAAGGTTTCTTATACTTTAGGTTCTTAAATATTAGGTTAAATATGTTTATAATAAAATTTATTTAACACTTATGTGCACTAGTCTGGAAACTTTTTTTGTAAATAAAAATGTGTTATTTTGTATCTAACCAATTGACTCAGATTCAAACAAGCAGAGTATTTTGAGAAGAGGACAGATATTTCAATTGTAATTTAGACTGAAAAAATAAGTTTGAAGAATACTAAACATTATATATATACAGTGTGACTTTTAGTAAGAAGTAGATGGTAAATATTGTACATATCCTTTCATTAAAGTTTATATAATATAAATTTTATTAAAATGATTACATATTTATTATTTTATTAATTTAAAATTAATATAATATTTATAAACTAACTTAAAACGTATCGGAAACGATATTCGTAGGATAGTTTATATTATATTTAATATATCAAAAGTACAACTAAATGCGAAATACAAGTTTGAAATAATAAACAATTTTTGAACCAAAACTCTTTTGTATAACAACAGTGAGTTTAGGATAGCTTCAAAACAAACTTTCATTAAGGTTATAACAACAATGGTTTAGCTAATAATTAAAATATATCTATAAGTTGTCAAAATGTACCTATTACAATACATCTGGGTTAATAATAGACCTCGTCGTCTGTTTTGTATTTTTGAATTAACGGAACACTGGTACTTTTGTGACTAAAGAAAACTATGACTTTTTATAAATGAATGAAGTGAAAATAAAGGTAAAAGTGTATTTTTATGTAAATAGTTGAAAAAATAAAATATTATTAAAAATACGTATTTTGTTTGATTTAAGCGTCTATCATATTATACCAAAACTCATAAAATTTTGATCAAATTCTCATTATCGTTCAAATAATAAAACCCAAAATTAAAAAAAATATGGCCTTTAAAAATACTGAAGATATTCAGTTAAAGATGACAATTGCGTTTTGAGAGAAAAGCTGTTTGAGACGAAGTAAGGTCTGGACGCTACCGACTAAATCTAGTTGGATTCCCACAACAATGGTAAATCGTTGTTCAACCACAACTGACAGACAACAAGTCAGACGACGTGATTTTACATGATGCTTTTTATAGTCTGTACAATGGCTAATGTTAGGAGGGATTGAAAATATAACAGAAAGAAATTGAGTGTGTTTAGTGCCTCATTCTGAGTATAGATTTACAATCGGACATTGGGTCACGTGTATCTGCATTATGTAGAATGTTTGTTATTTTATACAACACGGGGTATTCTCAGACATATTATTTACAGGTGTCTCAAGCAGATACAAGTCTAGCTTCACCTCTGAAATCTGTCCATATAACGAACATCGTAGAATGTAGGTTATAAAAGTTTAAATGAACTAGCTTGTAAAGATTATTTTTAAATAAATATTAAATGTATAACTAAGAATTTATTACGTGTAAAATTTTGAATACATATAATATTTTAATTAACAGCAATAAGAATATAAAAATATTGACTTATATTTTATTTAAAATTAAGTTTTTACATAAAATAAATATACTCTTATTTAAACGGTCATTGTAAATAAATAAATGAAACAAAAGACAAAAACCTATTGAAAACCGTAAAACCGTCAAACAAAAATAAAAATTGCAATTAAAAATAAATAAATGAAATTTTCAAACTCTTTGTTTATGTACAAGTTAAATTTGCTTTAAATTCATATATTCAAATCAAATAGCACCAATCGAAAGTTCAAAGTTTATCCTTGAATAAATTATTCAGGACAAAAGCTCATATCTACGCATACGGCATCTTACAAAGCTTATTACGATTTCTGTGTCGCAATGCGTCGTATTGTAATATTTCACTGCAGTGATTTAATATTTTGTACATATTCCACGTTTAACTAGTCAAGCCATAAATACTGTTATGAATTTTTTTTCTTTTTAATTACTCTTAATTATTTTGTATTTGGTACACGTTTATTATTAAAAACTTCTTTCAATCTTGCTCCATTTTGCATATTGTTTCGTGTTCATTATCACATAACTATATATAGCTGCGTGTAGTAAAATATAGAGTTGCAATTATCGTCTTGAACAAAGTAAGTGGGTATATTTCAAACATTTCAAAAGCTTGGTATAACCTAAATTACGGATATCGTACTATCAACAAATAATAACAACATATCTGTCAAAGACCAGTAAGATCGCGACGGCCGTGATATTTGTAATTAGAACTACAAATTCTGATTATGCTGTCAAAGCCAGAATTCATTTAAACCTCGTTAGGAATTAAAGCATATTATCCTGAGAAATGAAGAGTCCCGCTGGGACTCTGTCGCGTATTATAAAACAAGACCTGAAGCTCAGTCCTTATCGTCGATATACAGGCATGCCTTAAATTAATCTTTACAGTTGAAGATAGAATCGATCACAATGCCTTCGGTAAAGATACGCAGGCGAATGATGAAAATTTTTTAATGATTAAAGAAAGCTATAGTAAGCAAAATGATAAAGTGAACCCTCATAATTCTAAAGGAGCTACTCGAGTGGTCAGAAAAGTACGACGTGGACATCGTCCTTGGTCATGGATCATATTGTAGAAACTCCCAACAATACACGTTTTAAAAATATACTGTGGAATTTCCAGAAAGAGTCAATTGCAAATGACTCAACTGCAACTCAAAGCAAATGGTCACAAAGAACAATCTGCACAAGCGTGGCTTGAAACTAACGTCCGAGACTCACGAAACTCGCCCACATTTATGGCAGATCTCAACCCTTTCAACTTCAAATTATTAGTTTTGAAGAATGCAGCGTCGAAATTTCCTTTCAAAACAGAGAGTAAAATCATAGTTTATTAGCCACTAAGATTAAAAGCATAAAAGTGGCCATTTAGAAAAGGATATATTTATTTTCTTGCAGACATTTTAATAAATGGGTAAATACTTTAATAATATTAAATATGTAACCAAACAAATATGTTAAAAGAAATTATAAGAATATGGGAATAATATTAAACAGTTTCCGAAGCATTGAAATTTTTCAATTATACATTATTTAATCTGCCCGTTTTCATTTAAATTTCATTCTTTAATAATTTTAAAAACTAGTTTGTATTATTTTTCTTTTTCAACGAAAGTTACCAGTTTATGAAAGAATATATTAAAAGTATTTAGGTCGAAATACTTATATTATTTTATAAAATAAGTTCAATAAAATATGTTATTTCCAGATAATTAATTACATATTATATGAATTGAAATAAGTTTATATATGAATATATAATAATAATAATATTCAATTTATTTTACAGCAACTGTAAAGAAAACGAAACTTTACGAGAAACGTAATATAAAAAGTTAACGTTAATAATAATTTATTAATAAAAATTTGAATAGAAAATCGAAAGGTATGAATTATTTAAAAAAAAATATTGTTGAAATAGAAATGCTTACGTTATGTACACATATTATGAATATTTGTTTATATCTTGTATCTATAATTATTCCCTGCTAACTGAAACTTGTCGGTGCATGAAGTGTATTATTATGGTACAGTGGCAAAGGCTCGGATCCCCCCGTCAGATATTAAATGAAAAATAAAATTACTGTGCATTAATTTTAATCGATGTACGACATAAAAATTTATCTGTACACTATTACATTTTACTTACATCTAGCAACCAATTTTTGAGGTCAGTCATATTTATAAAAAAAAAAGTATATACAATAGTATTTTTAAAACAGCATTAAAACTATCTCATATATTCAAAAGTAAAATTTAACATGATACTTTGTAAATGCTTATTTATTTTTACACACCATTTTTAAAAGAGTATGGTTTTGTTTTACACTTTGAAATAAAATTATTGTTACATTTTTTTTCACTTTGAAGAATAGAAAAAAATAAAACCAATGTACATATTGATTAAATAAACAAAATTTGAAATGACAGCAAAAACGACTACTTTATATTAGAATTATTTTCTATAAATGCTAAATAAACATCCTTACATGTAAGTAGGCTACTCATAACTGAATATAAAAAAATATAAACCTTTAATACCTACGTAAATATATTCTAACTAATGCCATTGTAAGGCTCTCTACTATTAGAATTTAGATTAGACGCTGTGTTTATGTACTTATTTTGTATAAATTCTATATATTTTATAATTTTTCATCGAAATAATATTTCATATAAGATAACTTTACTAATTAAAAACAAGTCAAAAAAAAATGACAGAAAGTAAATTTGGACATCAAAAAATTAAACCATACCTCTAAATAAGCATGACCTGACAAAAACTTTTTTAAAACTTCAGCCAAAAACAATTAATTTTTGAGATGTCATAAACATAATACTAACCTTTCCCTCCTTGCCTTGGTATTGCCTCGCTACTTTTTCGTTTGTTTCCAAAATAATTATTTATATAAACAGCTACATATATAATTTTTTTTTTGAAAGCTAATTATATTATAAACCTTGAAAAGAAATTTCTTTTCATAACTGATAATGACAAAACACAGCGCCGTCTTTATCAATAGATTGAAAACAGTACAATAGGAAAGTTTTGATTAATATCACAGTTTCTGTATTTAAAAATAGGGCATTAAAAAGTTCTTTTCACTACACATTTCAACTAGAAACAGTAAGTCCTCGATACGTCTGAACACTGATCCTTATCTTGTTGTCACCCGAAATAGTATTGCGCATTTGAATAACGATATAAACTCCTAGTATTAGGGTCTGTTTCTGTTTGCAATTGAATTCTAGGTAAAGTTTTTACCGCCATACCACGTCCTAAAGTTCCATGAGGCATTGTTCGAAGAGGCATTTCAACGGGATACTCCGCAACCTGTCCGTACATATTAGTACTCACGTGGGGATATGTATTAGGCACTGGCCTGCCAACGTATCGATTGATTTTTGGACTCATGTTGGCCATGTTCGTAATTTGCATGTCTTGCTTCAGACTAGAGTCTACAGTGTCCACTGGGCCCGAGAGGCTTGTGATGTTTATGTCATTATCGACCTCCGATATACTGTCATTAAAGCCGTTAGGGATGTCAGTAGAGGCGGAGACATCCGGTCCTTTAGCTTGATCTGTGTTGTTCCTAAGCTTCACACATCGTATTACTCCGATTATAAGACACAGAAGACATATTCCCGTGGCAGCAGCAATGACGTAGACGTACATCATATCGAATTGTTCTGTAGGAGAGACATTTAAATTTTAAAAGAGTTTAATTTTGATAATATTAATATATTATTTAATAAGTTTAGTATTATAAAGTAAGCTTACATATATTTTTTGCTTTTAAACTATTCATATTACAACCCTAATAAATATAATATAATAATGATAATTACTTTATTATAATATAAAAGTTATTATGGAATAAATTTTAAATAACAAAAAAAAAGGATGTATTATTTAAATAATAAAATGCAAACTCTTAAATATTTAAAATATTTAAGAAATATTAACGTAGAGAAATATCCTCTCTTGTTCTGTATAAAATAAACAGAGCGGAAAAACAAAACCAACTGGAGTTTGCTTTATGCTACATGGTAAATTCAACGAACGACGTGTATATATAAAGTTATGTTTTTATATTTTGATATTATAAATATTAAATGTTTCTACAGAATGTGTGTTTATATTTCAATGAATGTCAATTTTGTATCAGATATAATTCGAATATGAATATCCATTATGAAGATATTAAAAATGTTCCATTAATATTATTCATAAAGCGTAAATCACAGCAACGATATTCAATATCATTGTAATATAGTCGCATATTAAACTTTATATTTTGGTCAATGAGGTTATCACTGTTTTTGTAAACACTAGTTTTAATAGTTTTATCAGACTTAATGGACATAATTTTGAGTTCAACAGTAAGCTTAACACTTGTTAAAAAGGTAATTTTCTTTAAAATCTCACCATCATTTGATGTATGCTGTTTTGGTGGAGTTGTTGGTGTTCCGTCTCTGCTGATATTAGTAAGCAATGTAGGACGGTGAGGTGGCACAGCCGCTACTGCTGGTGCTGGAGGCACAGATTCTCCCCACCAGCGATCACTAGACTCATCTACAACAACCTTTAGATTGAAATCCAAGTATCAAGGACTAAAGACATTTTGGTGTATTAAAATGTACGATTACTATTTAAAATTAAACATAACTGTATAATTTATTCTAAGTATAGATAGTAAATCTAATCTTCAAAAAATATTGATAGTTAAAACGTTTACTATCATAACTTTAATTTATTAGGATTGAGTCATTAATTATTATGAACCTGTAAACGTATTAAATCTTCATAAACAATATTTAACGAGGGAGCTATTATATTATCTTAAAAGATACGTCTAATAGATTCTAAAAAAGCATGTTCCGTCTTCAAAGGAGCTTTAAATCCGTTTTTACACTGACTGATTAAAGAAACCGACGTCTGCAAACAAATTCCAACAAATTGAACCCGTTCAAATTAAGAGTGGATTAAGTTTCCCGTTCTCCGTGTAATACCTTAATAGTATTGTCATTGTTATGTCTAAACAGTATTATTTAACATACCGTAACGATTTAACAATAACAATCTAGTGCTAAGAGAATTACTAAGTAGGTATTGTAGAAAAAAGTATTTTAATATAAAATTTTCAGACGGACTGTCGTTGACGTTGAATCAGTATAAAAAGCTTTGATTAATTTATATTTCAAACTTGAAAGAATATTTAGTACACGCTGTATAAACGACCCCAACCATAAAAATCATTTACTTCACAATTTTTATGCCAGAATTTTATGATCCTAATGTGGCACATTATAAGTATGCTACGATAATTAATTTTATATCTTCAAAGTATCTTCCTCCGGTTCGAGATTTATAGTCCCGTCTGTTTTATTTTTCTTCAACTTTACCTAAACTCCCAACACGTTAAAGCGTCTTAACTGCTAAAATATGTCTGTACAAATTTGAACAAGCTCTATTGACCTTAAAAGAAGAAACGAAATAAACGAAAGAAAGACTCTTAAACCTTAACAATGCAATTGTTTTACTGTGACACGTTTTAGGAGGTTAGGTACCATTTCACAAAATTTTGCCAAAGATATTAAGAAAAAATAAAAACGCATGTCGGTTGGTTATATGTCAATATAATAATAAGATGTTTTAATGAAAAGTTATAGTCATTTGACTTATATGAGGTAATATCTATTTTTATAATCTGATGGCGAATACAGCAGTTTTATGTATATACTCGTAGAATAGCTATTTTAAGAACAGAAATATCTTTACAATAAGATACCATATTATTTTAACTACCTACTTCACGTATTGTTTATTTATTTATAAATAGCAAATTTTCAAAGAAGTTTAAATTATAATGGAGAAACTACATTTCTTACAGAAATAAATTGTAACATTTCAGACGTACATACGAAATATTTAATAGTGTTTGAGCTTTTAAACTTTAAAGGCAAACAAACAACAAAACTCTCCGCAAGTTTCATTCATGCATGAAGGATTTCGAATTGAATGATGTCTACCTAAACATTTTATTCATAAACTTCTGGATGCAATCTCATCCGAAAAATTACTACAATTGATGCTCGTTATTCTTATTATTATATTACAATAATGAAATGTATGATTTTCGCGAGTATTCATTTAAATTAAACTAATATTTTTCGGATAACTACGACTATTTTATTATTTTAAAAACTACATAATCCCGACGTTTCGGTTACTTTGCAGCATCTGTGATCACGGGCAGATGAGATATATGTACACGTATGTACATCTTCATCTCGTAAAAATAATCAAAATAACAATATTTAATTTTAATTGTCGTGATAGACCTTTAGTTTATTTTACTAACAGAGTAACTTATTATTAAAATAAAATACTTATAAAGAGAAACATATAATATTGGAATCGACGACAAAAAGCAGGTCGGTAATTATACAGACTCTAAATTAACCATTACAATAATGAATACGCCAAACTTTATGAACGGAAACACCGACTATTGTTAAGTACAAATTCCAAACTTTTGTAAGATACCTGACGTGTAAATTCAAATGTGTGAAATCGTTAATCAGCCTAAGAAACAAATGTCTTCACTTAAAATGAGTGAACATTTGTTTTGTTAAACTAAACATAGCCCGTTTCAATCTTTGCTTGTACATATATTAGTTTATCGACGAATATGAAACCTTGAAGCAGTTTTTTGAGGTTGATGGTATTCCTATATGGTATTACTATATGCTCGTAAATAACCTTGATCTTTATAAATAGATTCGTTCATTCTTTTTAGTTCGTTTTTATACTTTAAAATAAAAGTTCTATTTGTTAAAATAAATTAAGTTGCCATGAAACTTCTACGTTAAAACAGAAGAACATTACAATGAGGTCAAATCCCTTCCGGAGTGAAAAAAAAACGTTTAAAAGAAAAATCTCTATACAGATACACTAGGTATTTGGCCTTAATTTTTTTATTTATAATAAATATTTTGTAACATTTAAACCTTTTGTGATATAAAATAATGCGGAGCGTTTTTTACTGTATTCCAGCACCAGTCTAACTAAAATACAATTTAAATTATAAATTTAAGAATGACAAGTCGTCCTGCTTAACAAAAAAACTTTATTAAAAATTTACAAAATATCATTGAATTACAAGGCTACGATAATGGTGTGAATATATTATCACCCACTCATGTCTTATGTATTGATCTCACAAGGCAATATTAATTACTAAGCTAAGTAAGTACATGCTTCCATCAATGGCTAACGTTTAAACTATAAATTCTGAATTTTTTGCGATATTTTAAATATTTCAAATACTATTTCAATTTTATTTACAATAGGACAAAAAGATTTTTTTATGTAATGTTGCTATTAATCTAAATTATTTATTTATTTTCATACATTCATTATTTTTGTTTTAAACATGTTTAATATAGGAAAGTTTTTTCTTTATTTTAGTTTAATTTATCTATTATCTTAGCGACTGTTGCTATATATACTTTAAGTTTAGTTTAAAATTTTATATCCTTACCAACATCGTCGTGTTCCAGATCTGAAACATCGTGGGCGACTTCATCCTCTTCAGGAGCACTTTCGTACCTCTCTTTTAAAACGGTCCGGGGCACTGCAAGTCAATAACTACTTTAACACTGGTTCTTAGAATAATAAGTCCTTTAAAATCTAAAATTAGGTTTCCCTATGCCGTATAATGGAATGTTAATTTTAGAATTTAGGGTGATTTAGGCTGGAAGGGGCTTTGACATAAAAACATTTTGTTTTTATAGAAAACAAATAATAGCGTACGTGACTTTTGCTTCATTATAGATGCTTTTAATACTCTTTTTTTTTAATTTACTTTATATGTTTTTTTAAATAAATGTATAAGTTCTATATTGGAATAATAAACAGAAAAGCTTGTGATTTTTTAAAAGTATTTGAACATACTCGTAGCACACCACTTTCAATTCAATAATATATTGGGTGATCCCAATGATAATATATCACTGCTACATCAGAATAATCAGATGCTATTGTGCAGCTTCTGTCAAACAAGATCCCTGACCCAAGGCCCCTATTGAGGTTTTCGCTGGTATTTCAGATCATTAACGCTTCGTTTGCCGAACTCAATCGTACCATTTATCACACACAGTATTGGCGTAGAATTCAAATTTGAAGCACGTTATTGGAATTCGAGTTCGTCTATACGTTATGTGGAAAGATCACTGACATTACTTAGTTACGTAACAAATAGTATTGTTATATTTTCATATCAAGTTTAGGATACTTGTGGTAGTATAATATACTCGTATCACATAAAGACAGAAATATTTGACACAAATTGTCCTTCCTTTAGAGACAGCTCTTGAAATTTTATAGATGCAGACGCCAGACAGTCTATATATACATACATATATATTTAATATCAAATCTAAAGATAGCTTATTTATGTATGAAGTCAAATAAGTGAGGCTAACCAATTTATATGAATATTTGATCTTAAATAAACATAAACTTCTATTAGGATTGTTACCATTTTGGTATAAAAATATGTATATTTTTCCAGTAAAAGAAACTAACGTATTAATATAAAAAGATTTTGCTGATATTTGCATTAATATTTGTACAATGGCGATATTTGTGTATTGATAAATATTAATCCTCCAAAATTTTATTGAGCATTAACTATGATGACATTTTAGATACAACTTTTTATGGAAAATTACCAACCATGATTTGTAAAAAATATTATTATAAGATTGTGATATTGAATAAGATTTATAAAAATATAATAATATCAAACAAATACCCGCCATTTATTTAGATAATTTGAAATTATATAATTGTTGAAACCACGAATAATAAATATGTGTCCTTGTAAAATAAAAGGAATAAATGTTCTCCTCTTTATATTTAGATTAAACGATAAGTGAAGTTTAACTCAGGCATAATCACTTTAAGGCTTGATATGTTTCAATATAATTATTATAAATAAATCAATCAAGAAAAAGAAACAAAAAAAAGTTGAGATAGGAGGTAAAAAGATGTAGCTAATGATTCCTCATTACTTTGATGATAGTTTTGTAATTACTCGAGGGTGTCCAAATAATTAGAAATTACCGTTACTGTATGTACAGCTGAGCTCCTTATTTTAACAATTGCATTATTTTAAAAAGAAAATTGTGGTTGATAATTATCTTTAATAATATAAAGAAATATGTTGAAAGTAATCATTTAAAAATATTGACAATGAAAGCTATTATATTGCTTTTCAACTGTTATAATACAAGATTTTATTATGTAAAAGTTTTGTCTCTTCTGTTATAAAAGCTGAAATGTTAGTTGAGAATTAAAAAACAAAAGTAATTTAAAAATATCATATCATGATTTATGAACATTTTTTTATTTAAAATCGAGTTATATTTTCTTAATAATATAATACATATCGGTATTACTATACCTACGTACGTAAATCTGACGATGGATATTTTTTAATTAATAAAAACCCTGATTGTGAGATCAAACATTAACTAGTATTAATTTCAACCCACAAAAACTGTACATATTTTTTCACATTCCATGACAATAAGTCAATATATGTCTGGGTTGTTGAAACACTAATTATAAACAAACTAATATGATATACTTTATAAAGATTTTATGGGGTTATATAACAATACATTGTTTTAATTGCAAATCTTTAACCATGTATTGAATAAAATATTTAAAGTACTCATTGGGCACATATTTTCCTCTAGAGAAATGCTAATTATGTTTTTCAAAAACAAAAAAGGTTCCAAGCCTTTGTAGGAAATATTGAAAAGAATAAAACAAAGCAAAGTTTTTGACTGATCGCTCCTAATGCTACTAGAAACTGAAACAATGGAAAATTGTACACTCTCATGTCAAAACAAGAATGGATTGCTTTGTAATATATATAAATTCAGTTCTTTTTATTCACATGCAGTGAAATATCTTTCGAAAATAGTTGCACTAGAAATTACTTATTTGTAATGACTAAATAAATATGGAAAACACATTAGCATATGAAATAACAAAATATTTTTATTAAAAGATTAACTTACCACAAGTGTAAACAACTTTCAGGTATGTTCTGCTGCCTGTTCGACATGGCCTTCCAAACATCTTATTGTCTGCTGAAAGAACACATCGACGTTTGCCATGGCACTCCCTCATTGATGTTTCAGTAGCATATGGCTCTAAGCATGCTAAAACAATAAAAATTTAGAAAAGTTAATAAGGAAAATATAAAATAAAAAATATATAAAAAAAATTCATGTGACTTTGTATATTTTCTCTCCTGACATACACAATAGCAAGGGTTATGTTAATTATTATTTGAAAATTTTACACGTAACTATGAGAATATACATAGTAGGGATTTGATAAAAGTTACACCGATACTACCGCACACAATTTTATCTTATACTCTTTATAGTCGACGTAATAACTCGAGGGATACCCACTTTCCTCTTTCATTCCCCGCGGCTGTGGGCATTGTATTGAGTCGTACTCCGTCCGCCCATACTGCGCCGAATATATCGCAACCCTTGAGTGTGGGTTACAGCTCAAATGAAGCACGTCGTTCTCACAGCCCACTTTACTTCTGAATTCATCTGCCAAACCAAATGTTATCTTATATCATTGTGTCAAGCTAGAAATTGAGGTGTCACTAGTGGCTATTTTTAAAGCTGCCAACGAATAAGCCTTTTCTCTTCGTTTGGAACAATGTTTTTGAATTAAAAGTTAGCACTTAGCTGTATTACTTTTGGTGAAAAATAGGATTTTCATGTTGAACCAACAAAATAAAATATTCCAATTTTTAGATTCCATGCAAAAATTAAACTTACTCTAATTTTAGATTTTAAGGGAAGAGTTTTCAAATGTATCACGATTATGTATTGTTTTGTACTAAAAATTAGAAATCTTTGAAATTTTGGAGAAGATATATTAATTTAAATAAAACATCAAGATTACAACACAACATTAATGTGTCACATGAATCTTTTGGTGTTAATGACTTTACTTTTTATTATATTCATAATACGTATTATATTAATGTATTAGAAGAAAAACTGCAATCAATTAATAATAATCAATAATAATAGCGACATGTCAAAGACATAGTAATATAAAACAATTTACATTCAATGGGATTATACACTTTTATTATAAAACCTTTAAATAGTACAGTTATCTTCTATTTTTTATAAATTGTAGACATTCAATAACTTAGAACGCAAAATCATATTTGAAGGTATGAGAGAGTACAACCTATTCCAAATTTTTACATTACTTTTATTAAACATAAAATCGAAAAGGAAGTAGGTATTTAGTGTAATATATTCAAGCAAAGTATAGCGGAAAGGCATTTCTACAGGAAACTCTTATATATGTTTTTAAGTGAAAATAAGAGGTTAACGGTCAAAAACAATCGGTGGCAAGGAAGTGACCTGGGAATTTTGCCAATCACGTTTTCCCCAAAAAAGGGACTTCACAAATATCAAAGAAATCTGCTAGCGTCATCGTTTTTCGGGCGGCTTTACGTTTCTTTACTTAAAGAAGGAAACATATTTTCGGTTAGGTGAGCTTAATTTCAAGCTTTTTATAATTTTCCGTTCACCTTCTTTTCAACGTAATGCCGGATCGAATCCGATTGTAACATCCTGAGAAGGGAGGACTTTTTCGGAATCAGCATAATCGTTTCATCTTAGAGTTTCAATAAATATCAATAGAACTTGATGTATTTTATAAAAATGAAACAAATAACAATGCAGCAATATTTACATCAATAAAAGTAAAGTTTTTTATAGTGATATTTATTGAAAGTCAAAAACTTATATAGGCAATAATTAGTTTCTATGATTTTTTTTATATCTTACATGGTCGGCATTTGTAGGCTACCTCCACGAATCTTCTTGAACCTGGACAGGGGTCAACACCGAAGGCCTTGGGGCTCGTATGAAATTTACACTGTCGCTTCTTTTGACAAGCTTCAACGACGGTCTGCAACAACGAATACTAACGAATATTAGTTAGTATGCCGATTCTGTTATTAAAAAATATTATGTATTAACATTGTTATGAAATTAAATGGGTAACAAACGGCACAGAAGACTTTTAAATCATACATGAGATGTATTAAATATATGTATATGTATGAGATGTATTAAATATACTTTTAACTTATGCCTATGACTATGTCATCATATTTCTGGTAAGGTGTCAGATATCGGGTTACTACAGTTAAGTTTTCAGTCACCGGTATGAGCAGCATCCCTCGTCAAATGACATTTTATGCATACAAGGGGGTTGCCAAAGCGATTTATATAAATATCACGCGTACGTAACAATTTCAAAGGATGTATATTGAATTTTTAGTTTGATACTTGAAACTACTCATTCGTAAGTTATCAAACTTAGGCGATATACATATTTTAGCGAATATGACATATAAACGAAAACGATTTTCACTGTAAAGCATTTTTTTGTGATTATGTTATTAATAATCTTAAAACATTTTTTAATACTAATTTTCGGCGTATAGCATACCTATGCTTACTTGCTGCTTAGTGTACCAGTCCAGGGTACCTTTACGAGTATTTATGCAAAATATACAAAGTGTGGGCTCCTTTCATAAATTATGAAACTAAAAAAATATTTTTTGAATAAAATATGTAAATCTCATAATGATATATATACAAACAATACTCGTGTTATTAAGAATTCGGTCCTTGCGTTCTGAATTCTCCTTCATAAAATAGAAAAAATTATAATCAATTAATTAACTACTAAAAGAACTAAAACGCTAAAAGAAATTACTAAAAATATTTTAATGCCGCTAACTGTAAATACGACTATTAGAAAAATAGGACTAGTCATAAAAAGACATACTTTGTAATACGCCAGCGCCCGTTATAAAAGCTTTACTAAAAGCGAAATGGTCCTGTGACAGTTACATGCCAAAAACCATTCGATTGACATTTAAGGCCTCCATATAAGTACCGCTGTGTTATTTGCTGGCTTACCAACAAAGGCCTATTCATTATTTAGTTTAATAATTTTGGAGCGTTAATCATAAAGTAACATTAAAGAAATATTTGAATATACAAAAAATTAAAATAGAATTATTTAATAAAACACACAGAGACTAATCGTAAATAACATTTTCAAATAACCATACTTTGTTAAGTAAGCTCTGTCCTTATTAAGCTTAAGAGCATTCAAAGTTCCAGTCTAAATGGAATTAGTGTATTATAAACAACTGCACTTAGTGTATATTTTGGTATTAACACAATAATGGTTTATTATTTTAAGTCTGGGTTATGACGATAGAATAATTCAATTAGGATTAACTGAGTAAATAGAATTAAGCTTAATATTGTAATTTACTTAGTGCTACCGAATTATCCTTATTACTATTAGCGAAAGTAATTTCCTGACTGTCAAAGCCATATTATCTCATTCTACAATACTCTGGAGGATTATATAATACTTTTATTTTTTTAATGAACTAATAGTGACAGTACCAATGAGAATATTTGAACATCTAAGTAATTTTGATGACTCCCTAATCAATATTTCGCATAATTCAATACAAGTCAAAGTTGTATAATGCCAACATAACACATGATATAGAATTATGAGTTCGTGTAATTTTTCTTATAATTTGTTATATCTGTATTACCTGCAATGCACTAGGCCACGTGCACGAAGTGTCTCCCACCACTTCAACAGCTACAGGTTGGTATTCAGCTAATTCTGATGAACAAGAGCTCTGTGAAGTCGATGCTCCATACTGGGCTACTTGTATACTAATTGTTGTTCCTCGAGGACAAATGAGAGTAACCATTTCTTCGTCACATGCTGCCTTTTGGTGTGTACGGAGAGTCCCCAGCAACAATTCTATAAATAAGATATTGAGTTTAAGAAATAGAAGCACCATATTTATTTGCATTATAAATACGAAGACAATGGTGATTTAAGTCATGATATTATTATTATTTTATTTATTTAATATTGATTCTTTGAAAACATTAATATCTTTATGAATAAATAATGTGATAGAATGTAAATATTTATTTTAATTCATACAAAATACAAAGTATTTTATAATTATATTGATTCATATTTATTATATTTTTTACTTATGTATTTTTTTTTTAATATTCTAAAAGCTCAAATGATTAAATAGTTTAAATAATTTATCAATTATTAGTCAATTAGTCAATTATTTTTTGTACATATAAATCTAAGTACATATAAATATTTATGTATTTTCATTTGTTTGAGAGTCTCTATCAAATTCAAGTTATGGTAACTTCACTGTATACAAAACCATGTGTTGGCTGATAATAAAACTTCTTGGATATAAATACATACAACAACCAAGTGTTCAAACTCTTGAAACTCGTTTAGACAAGAGGTCATTAAGGAATTTCTATTTATAGCAAGACACTCGTATTTCATATTGGTAGAGAGTCGTAATAGACCGCACGTGGCTGTGCTTTTTTATGATGAATGCGAGTTAAAAGACGCAGCGATTAAAATATAAATTTTCATCGTTATCAGATAATAATAATTGTATAAATATTTTGCTTTCGAAATCGTATAACTCGATAAATAATTATGGTTTGTAGTAACTATAACTATTAATGTAATATTAATTTATGATTTTAAAATTGGTTTTTGACTGAATGTATTTCTGAAAGTGGCTTCAGATATAAAAGAATAACGTGAATAAAAATTTCCGGGTAACTAAAACTCAAAGCTATCTGTAGTCTGTATCAAATGACTTCATAAAATGAAAAATATAATCTTTTGTTGTGGAAACAGAATTACATACATATATAAAATAAGAAGGATTTAAGCTTGATAAAGTATAAGTAACCATATCACTCAATAGTGAAAAAAAAAACATGTCATCCCATGTAAATATTACTTTAAATACTTACACCATACAAAAAACATCTGTTTCGTTGCGGTTACTTGCATCCTACTTAAGGGGGAGCGTCACGAAATAATTAAACTAGAACGAAACGGAGACATAGTTAGCACGCCATTCATCTTAGTCATGTAAGCGCGTTCCACAGAAATATTTGAACTTTGTTTCACCTTGACAATGGTTTTGGATTTTAGCTCATTATAATGCCTCTTCTATGTGGGGAGTGTTATTTCAGGAATGTTTTCATTTTATTATACCAAATAATACCATATCAAAAAAGTTATATGTTGTTTTTGGATGAGAATGTATATTTTAGAGCTGTATTTAAAATATAAGTGTTTAGTTTAATGTTAAAGGAAATAAATAATTTTATAAAATATTTAATTATTCTCGTATATATAGAAAAGGTAGTTATTCGTAGAAAATATACTTTGATTAAATTTAAAATTTAAATTAAAATAGTTATAAAACAAAGTATAGAAATAATTGGGTATTGTTGGAAAATATACAGAATCATCCATTAGTTAATTTATTACAACTTTTCCTGGCATTGTAGACTCCCCAGCGTCAAAGACTCAAAACAAAAGCCAAAACATTTTGATTAAAAGAAAACAGCGAAAGCCCCAATTCGGTCAACAATCAACCATTATAATGGAACCGACATTGTTTATTCATCAGTCATTAAGGATTCAAAGTAAAACGAAATTATCTTCAAATAGCTCTATAGTTATAAGAAAAAGTTTCACTATAACGTGTCGGGCTAAATAACACATCTCTTTTGAAGTCGTGCGTGGTGAACCATATTATTTATATTCCCAGGAATCACTCAAAAGGGATCAGTTTACGTTCGTCAAAGAAAAAAACCTGACAGTGCAAGGGATGGAGTGACATTAACGTTCGTAAAATGTACGGGCTTCGCCATCAAAACATTTTTACGATGTACATGGTCAATAGTAGATAGAGTCGAGTGATTTAATGGCGTTCCGTTGAAAAACATAAAGCGCACAGCTGTGGACATACGTACATCTAGTTTAATGACTTGTTTGGATTTCAAGTTTCACAAGAAACTTTATATCCACAATGTACGGTCCTTTGTGTGTTGTTATTTATTATGTTAGAGCTTGTGGCTTTCGACCGATTTAATTGGAGTAGTTGGCTACATGTGGTATGAAAATCACTTCAAAATTCTATTATAAACTTAATTCTTTTAGAAACTTCGCGCTTTATAAGTTCATTGAGATATATTTTTTCGATAAAATGTTTTACATTACTCTTTTTACATTATGTATATATTCTATTGACTACATTTTTATTTATTTTTAAATACCGTCAACGTTTTCTTAAATTCTACGCCTACCAAGTTCATTAGTGTAATAAAAGTAATTTAAAAAATAACCTATAATTTTAAAGATAAATTTGTTTTGCCTTTACTTCTTGTAAAGATTTTTTTTAAATAAATTATTTAGCATACCTAGATTATTAATTTAATAGAATAAAATAAAATAAAACAGGCACGTTTAAAGCAATTTAGACGATAGTAAAATGAGAACTTATTCTTTACATATTTTTGAGTTCCAATTCATCCATTCCGTCAATATAAGTCGTTTGCTTAAAATGATGAAGTAAATAATAGTTTGCAAATTTTTCTCTCTATTAAAGCTTATATTAAAGGCCAAATTATAAAATATCAAAGTAAGTAAGGAAATGCACTTTCTAGCACTAAAGTTGCACTTATAATAACATCATAGGTCTGCCCTCTTATCTCTTGCCTGTCTAATAAATTAAAACTAATAAGCCACACTTGCTTCATTAAGGAGCCGCAGCTTCTATATTCTAAAATCGTGACGTATTTTACAAACCCAGATTAAATTCACTCTCATCTACACTCTAGGGTATAATTTCCATCAGTGTCAGGATATTCATGTATACTCGCAATGACTCCTGCTTTTAGCGTTCCCGTCAAAGTGACGACCCCAAATTCTTTACACTCTGTGCTATGCAAGGAAGTCACAGGCGTGTTAAATACAAAACCCACGCCGTATAACCAAACTTACAGAATTTACGACTAGATATTCAGGTAGATAAAACAGTTGATTAAAAGCAGTTTTATTAAAAGTCTCTAACACTTGCGACGTAGTCTGTTACGATAGCATTGATTGCAATCTTTCTGGCTACGGCGTTTTCGATGGCTAATTGCCTGAATTTTTAAGTTTCTATTTGACATGGCTCTATAGGAACTTGTTAATGTTTGTATATGTTTAGTCAGTTCAAGCATTGCTTAAAAGTCAGCCCTCTTAGCAACCGAGCTTACCAGAAACAAATTGCGTTGGATAAAATAGTGAGTGAGTGGATTTAGCATACTAGACATACCCTGATTGGAGCGATGCTGGTTTTATAACTTTTAACGCCACCAAAAAGCACTTCTTTTTGCAACCAAGTATTAATTTCGACTTCAACTTTTGAAAATTATTCTGTGAAATACACTTACAAATTTTAGTTAAAGGATATCCTTAAACGTTCATTGAGTTCAGCCTGACGTTAAGTTGCAATATCACTACGGGACAGCTTCTTTTTTTATATAAAGCACAAGTTTGGTTACGTGTGAATAACTGCTAACACATTTAGGCAGGTGCTCCCAAATGCTACCTTTGGTAGTTGTGTTCAAGTGTTCAAGGTAACAGTGCAAGGGCTTACTGAGTGTCTCTTGATGATCATTAGCCTATCCACTGGTGAGAAAAGGCCCCTTTTCACATGGAGAAGGTTAGAAAATTAATTGTTAATCAATCCGCATTTAGTAAGCGCAGTAACGCTAAATGGTTTCAAAATCGATAAATCCAGATTTCTTCACGATGTTTTTCTTAAACTTCTGTCTATGGTATCTAAAAATTTTTAAATAATACATATAATAAGTCGTAAAAATCACATTGGTTGTTGCCTGATTTTGAACCCGCACAATTAGGCACGAGAGGCGAGCCTTTAACTTCTAGGTAACGACGATTTTTTAAGCACTATCCGGTTCAAATAAACAGAAGAAGAAAGTTTTTTTTTACATTAATAATATCTGTGGAGCATTATTAAGAGTAAATTAAACAATAAAATTAATGACAAACTTTTATAATGAAATATAAAATCGAAAAGGATTAACAAAGTGAACTTAATTTTTAAGTATTATACTATTTGTAAACATTACATTATATAATAATGTTTTAATATTGAGCACAAGTATCTTTCTTAATGGTTTTTGGCTGTACAAACCTAAATAAATAGTATTAGCAACTTCAATATTTGAACTTTATATCCAAAGAGAATATATCTTTTTCTCCAATATATGAGACTCTTCTGAGAAAAAACATTCGTTCATTTAACTTACTTTATTCAATGCTAGAAAATGAGATTTCATATAGCAATTAAAAAATTATAAATTAATATTCAAACATATATGACCGCTTGCATGCACACATACACATGAGAACATCAAAAATAAAGTACATATCTTATAACAATATTTTGGAACTTTAACAAACCTTGTCTTTATACTTACGTGTATATTATACTTAAAATTTCAAAATAACGGCAGATCGATGTGTATGCAAAAAAATAATTTATTTAAATGTAAATATATATAACTAGAGATTCCATATTAGATTATTTAAAAAAAAAACATTTAAAATTAACCAAACATTCCTTAAATACAAAGGACGACAAACAGTTTACATATAAAAAATATTATGTGAATTTTAGGACTGTGTTAAAATTAATAAGAAATGAAATTATTTATCTCTCTGGAAAGTCCATTTCACAATTGTAATAACTATGAAGCAATCAATGTAGGATTTATCAAGTCACAAAGAAATCTTAGGTTATATTAGGTATTTTATATTTGAAGTTATAGGAACTAAATTTTTTTGTAAGCATAAAGGGCATAATAGGATGAAACAATTGTCAACAAATAATGAATGTTAAAATTCAAAATTTTCAACACTGACCCATTTAAGTTATAA